TAAATCACTGACTGATTGGATGAGACCACTATGCAAGAAAAAAAAAGGTACAGCTGAAACAATGCACTACTTCATTTTCACTGTTAAATTACATGCCTAAGCAATCTACATTAACCACATTACTGTATGCATACATTCAATAAAACACATTTCTCATTACATCAACATTACACCTAAAAATAGCATTTTAAATGCATCAAACACTCAGTTTCACCCCGTCAGGTAATCAAAGCCTCTGATTGGCTGAATGAGACATAAATTATTCCCCTACCCACAGTTCGTGTTTCCCAGGGGAGGAGAAGTTGTCGGACCAGGAAGTGTGTGTGCGCGCGTTTGTGTTTGTGTGTGCAATGTGTGGAAACTGGAGCGGTATGGGATTATGGAGCGATATCGGCGGGTACCTCACCGAACGCTGCGATGGCTGGTCACTCAGGTAAGTACTGAAAGTTTTTGGAGTGTTGGCGTGACAAAGAGCTCTCATATGCGGTTGCCGGCTCCGCGAGTGAAAGTCTCAGATTCGTGTGCGCGCGCTTGTGTATGGAGGTGTGTGCAGGTGTGTGTGACGTTAGCCAGCTACATTGTAGCGTGCTGTTCTGTGGCATTTGTGAAAAGGGAGGGCTGCCTTTTCACACCTATACTGTGATATACACATAACAAACACTAAAATTTCTACATTAATTTAGTCACCAGTATCACATTATTTGACCACAAGGACATATACGTATACCTCAGTAGTTATTATGACTTATATTACTTTATTTCTAGATTATTTCTATCATTACTAGATGTTTGATCTACTGAGAAGATGTAGCTTTGACTCAAACATGAAAGAGCATTTTCCATTTGTGCATTTTAATTTTAAATTTTCAGAATGAAGTTTGGTCAGTTTTCCACCAGTGATGCATAGTAAGGGGGTTATTATACTGTGGGGAAGTTCCAGTCTTTCCAGGCAGGATTGAAATATTCATAACACCTAAACCCTTAGAAGCTAATTTCTCATCATGCCTTTATATCCATCATGATGCAGATACACAGTATGCATAGCAACTGGTCAAATACCTGCGGTAGACCAAATGGGGGTTGTCCAGCTGACCTGCAGCCTGAACTGAATGACGGAGGAGCAGACCTTGTTAATGAGTTACAGGTGTTGATTGCTTATTTCAGTCATAATAATCGTCACATAAATCTTAAATTAGCAGTGGCATAACTGTAAAAAACCGTGACTCCATCCTGAAAACTTAAGATATTTTATTTTGATGTGATTTATTGCAATTAAATTAAAAATGCACTCTAACAAATTAAAAATGAAATGTAATAAAACTCAAAATGTTGAGCAAAATCAGTCATAATGACCTTTACTGAGTCTAAAATAAACATAAAAATGTTTTTTTTGCTGTTGTTTGATTTTTCGGTTTTGAATCAGTTCAATTTATTAAGTAAAATGTTCCTTGTTCTCCTTGTAGCAAACAAGGCAAAATTGTTAAGTAAAATGGGGTCTGCAAAGTCTATTTCTGTGTTAATGCTGACTGTAACTGCTTCATAATATACCACCAGGATTCTAATGCTGCCTACTGTGTGTTATATGTACTAGCTACTGTAAATTAATTTATAAAAAGTTAATAAGACAAGTTAAAAACTTAAGATCAGTAAATTGTAAAAAAGCTCATTAAAAAAGTTAAAAAGCTAAATAAACTAATAATAATAAATAAAATAACAAATGAAATTATGTTGTACCAAATAAAGCTTTTACCCTTTTTTTTTTAGAAAAATGTGAAAATATATGTATTTATTTCTTTTATAAAAGTAATAAGGTCTTGTTCTGTCCTCCAATAACATCCTTGACTTTAAAGGGATAATGTTGCTCCTTTTCAGTGTTTAATATCTATATTTGATATAAATATATATCTCTATAAAATTTTTTTTGTTATATCGATCTCCTAACTTCAGCATATTCTTCGTTACAATTTCAATGAATTCAGGGAAAGGGAGCACTTTCATTCAGCTGTGTAAAATAGCTCAAACAACGATAAGCATTTTTTGCTAAAGTTGTAACTTTTTCAAACTTTACATGATCTTTTAGTATTTTACGGTATATAAAACTGTTAAACTTCATTCTTTCAGTGGGTGTCTTTAAAATGGAAATCAAACTGAAAATGCGTACTGGATGGTAATGAGGATATTAAAGAGGTCTTAAAGCTTGGGTGGGGTTACACATACATTACAAAGATTCTTGTCTGATAGCTTACAGGAAAGGCTGTTTTTTTTTTTAAGCTGACCAGCAGGAGTTAACGGCCTCATTCAGTAGCCTTAAAGAATCTGTCAGTCTAAATATCACCCACAAATCCCTATTAGATATTTAAGTATTGATCAAATAATCTCCAAGTCTTATCTTTACACCTTCTGCAGTAAAGCATCTACAAACAATGAAACTTCCAGCTCCATGTCACACTTTTACAGTTTAATTCCTGGAGCTATATGGTAATTTAATGCCAAACAAGCCCTGGGTTCTGGTTTCAAAGTCCTTTAGTTTATTCCAGATGTTCTAGTTTTTTTTCTGAGGCTTGCCTGCAACTGTTGGTCTGGCCTTCATCTTTTTTTCTTCCAGAACAAATCTTCCATGACATTTCCCAATTATGCTTGTGCAGTATGTAGTGCCAAGTTAACATTTGACATTTTAGACATTTTCCTAACATTAAAGAGGCTGCTTCCTGGTTAAACCTGCTCAGATACTAACCAGCACTGCATGCGTCTGGTGTTTTTAATGTCATCCACTTTTATTTTGCAAACAGTGAAAAAGCTAATTTAAAAATTGCTTTAAACAGAACAAACCTTTAAAATTAAAAGTAACACTCTAATCAGGGTTATTTAATGTCATTTAGGCCAAAATGTTATGTTGCATTGTACAAAACAAGCTTGAAAGGTTTAGTTTAGGCAACGGGAAGTGAATTTTTCTAGCAGAGGACTTCTAGAAAATTCCACGTCCAGTTGCCTAAACTGAGCCTTTCAAGCTTGACCATGCCAATTGTTTGGAACATTATTATTAATGATGTGTGAGTCTGTTAATCCCTAATATTACCTGCCTGTTGCATGTCAGAACTAATGTTTTTCCAAGTAGTTAGGACAGTTCCTCTGTCCAATTAGTCTTCGTTATGTACATAACACTCTGGAAAAACGAACTAGAAATGAGTAAAGATTTCTTAAATTAAGTGTATTTACCCTTAATTTGAGTAGGTAAATAAGAAAGTTTGCCAATGGAACGAGTATTTTTACTCTTAAAATAAGATAATTAGATAATATGCACTTGAAATAAGACAATGCAATTAGGTTTTTTATTTTAAGTGTAAATTGTCTTGTTCCATTGGCAAAACACTGTACTTATTTTAAGAAAAAAATGAATTATCTAGATTTCAATTTTTCAGTGCGCTTGTGTTCTGACAAGGATCCCCAAGGCCTTGAGCAAAAACCTTAATCCCTGATTGCTCCCCGGGCACCACACGATCACAGCCCACTGCTCCCCAAATTGATGGTTTAAATGGAGAGAACGAATTTCCCCATTGTGGGACAGTCAAGGGATTTACAAATGTTATAGTTTTAGTTTAGTTTTATTGGGATCCCCATTAGCTACAGCTATGCTTAGGCTATTCTTCCAGGGGTCCTGAAAAAAAAAAATATATACATTAAAAACAAAACCAAGAATACAACCAATATTTGAAAGAAAAAGAAAATACACAAACACATATACAAATACATATACAATATATACACATATTAACGTACATATGTACCCTTATGCGGGCGTGATATATGACAAATATAAAACACATTCTACTCTTACACCTGTAAACATACCTACACATATACATACATATTCACACACATATATAAATATAAACATTCAGTTATATTATTTTGATAAATGCTATTTTACATATAATTTGAATTTATTGACATTATTAGCAAGCAGGATATGTTTTGGCAGATTATTCCATTCTTTCATACCTCTAAACACAACAGTATTTTTTATGGCATTTGTTCTCACTATGGGTAAAGTGAAATTACCTTTAGTTGCATGTCTAGTACTGTACTGATGATTTACTACACTGAAAGAAAGATGCTTGAACAAAACAGAAGGAAATTTGGAATTAGAAATATTTCTTATGAAAATTAACAATGAATACAACAATCTATCTTTGACCAACAACCAATTAAGATCTTTGTGCATTAAAGCTACAGTGTGTAATAATTACAGGGATATACAGTCAGAAATGTAATATATTATAAATAACTATGTTATTTTATCATCATCTACGAGCTCAGGCTCTTAACCTTAATATTTGCGTTGCCTTAGAATTCGTTATTTATAATTACATAGGAGCGGGTCTCGCAGCCATGGAGGCAGACATCTTTGCGCTACGGCATGGCAGAGCCAACAAACTAGTGATTGCGAGATCGCCAAAATGTCACAACGTTGTAGAAAAAATAACGGGTATATTTATTATCTTAAGTCGACATGAAATCTATACCCTACACAGACTAATGAAATACTATCTGTAAAATTATCTATGTAAACAAACCTCATTACTTGAGAAGGTAGGTGATGCGGACATCGTGGAAGACATTTTGTCCCGTAACGCTCGCCGTACTGTTGAGGGGGAGAAGCGGGGGGGGGGGGGGTGTTCATGTTGCTGCAGTCTGCAGTCTGACCGCTAGATGTCGCTAAAAGTTACACACTGTAGCATTAATGTTATTTTTCTCCTGTAGCTATCAAGTAATCATTAAGATGGTTTACAATATCTATTGGCTTAGTTATAAGTTTATCTCCTGTTTCCAAAAAAGATGGATTTATTTTGTTTTTCTTACCAGTCAATTGATTTAAAACATTCCATAACTTCCTATTATCATTACCTATGTTTTTAACGTGATTATCAAAATACATTTTCTTCTTCTTATTATTATTAAGTGTAGTAACAGAATTTCTCATTTTACGATATAGGTCCCAATCACTTTTATTTCCTGTCATAACTGCTGTTCTTTTCATTTGACATCTTATTTTCATAGAGTTTTTCAGTTCTTCATCCAACCAAGGTGTGACGTTGTTTCTGACCGTAAACGTCTTCAAAGGTGCATGTTTATCAATCAATGACAAGAATAGCTTGTTAAATTTAAATAGAGCAGTTTCTGGATTACTAGCAGCCAACACATCAGATACTGCTCCTTTAGCTAAAAATGAACAGTAGAAATGCCACAAATATCCCTCCTACAACTATATAAACTCAAATTAAATCTATTATAATCTCTACCAGGGGAGCCAAAAAGGGTGGAGAAGCTAATCTGTTCTCTAATCCGTGGGGACGTGTCTGATGTCTTCAAAGAGAAACGTCTATTCTAAAGACTTTTTTCAGCTTGGATTTTAACTAGAAAGAAAACTAAAATAAAAGTAGGACTCATGTATTTTAGCTGTAAAGTCATGTATTGCCATGCATGAGATGTGACTTGTGTACACACTGGCACAGATAAAGTGATATATTTGTGTAGTGAGTTGGTTAAATAAGGAGCAGATGAGTGCTTGGTGGGCACAGGTAACATTCCCAGTGGGAATAAAACACCTGTTATTGATGGGTTTATGATGAGGGCCCACTCCTTTAGTGTTAATGATAGAACAAACATTTGAGGTAGAAATTAAAGCCTCTTTTATGCTTGTATGCCAAGGTTCCTGCTTCAGGCTAAATGAATTAAAGGTCTAGAAGTCAGAGCAGAATGACTGTTTCTCTTCAGGACTGATTTAATTGAGAAAGGACCAGTAAACTTCACCGCACATTGAACCTGAATAGTTCTGCAGACTGCAGCTTCATCTGTAATATCCAGCCTTTCATACTTTAGTAAATGTGAGCATGTGGTTTGGAGCATCTTGGCCAAGTAGGTAACCTGGCTGGTTAGCTCTGCTTTAGAAACCCCCATCTTGGTCTTCTCGAGAGAGAGGTGATCACAGGACCCAAGACCTTCTATTAGAATAAAGCAGTTAGCTTTGCACATGAGTTCTTTTGGAACAATGAGAGATCAGATGGTGTCCATTGCAATTTAATGAGGAGCCATTCAGAAGATAACGGTCCCATTAGTGCTGGAGATGGAGCCGCACCTCAAATGAATAAAGATTTCTCAAAGTTCTGGTCATTTCCAGAGATCAACTAATTTATGCTCCTCTTCTAAAAGCAACTCAGATCAAGCTCTTTCTAATTCTGTCGGCTGCCAAGGCAGTGTGGCTTTAACATCTGAAATTAAGAATTTTTATTCCTTGTAAATTGCCAGGTACTTTTCGCGGCAAAGATTTCCCATTTTGGCCTTTTTTTTTTTTACGTAACTAAAATAATACATCCTATATGATTTACTCATATATAAGATTAATATACTCAGATTTATATAAAGGATAGCAAGAATGGAAGAGGAGAGGTATAAACATGTCAACCTGGAGTTTTATGTTTAGATTAAATGCATATTTAAACAATGCTTCCTATTTTGGAACTGGGGGAAGTTCTTTAATTGAAGCAGCCAATGTAGCTAGAAATAGTAATGCTTAATTCAAATTATGACTTAGAGTTCAGACATTTTACATACGGAGTTAGAAGTATCATAAAAAACTTAATGACATAAATTTTACATTTAGAAAGGTAATGTAAATTTTGATAATTTTTTTAAGTGATGTTAAGTAAAACATTTAGAAAAAATTGGATACTGAGATTCTAGATTACAGTAATGACTCTTCAGACTTTGAGAAATCAAGTTGGTTTGTTTCAAAATTATGAGATGCTGAATTTTAAATCAATATTTCGGAATTTTTAGGCTTTTAGTATCTTAAATATGAATTTCAAAGTCTTTATTTTAAGATGTCCGGTCAAAACTATTGTATAAATTCCTTTTAACGCTTTTAAATGTATAACTTGGAGAGGTAAGGTTTGGGAGGAGCGGAGTCAAAATTTTGACTTTGAATTTAAATTTGATGTAGTTTTTTTTCTTAAATTCTGGTTTGGACAAGTATTTTGAAGAAGTTCTAAAAAAAAAAAAAAAAACTAACATAAACACCAAAGTTTTTCTATGGGAATGCAATAAGAACATGTTAGCAGTTTTAACTCCCCAGTTCTTCAAACCAACAGGAATTTTATTAACAAAGTCTAGAAAGAAAAAATCTGGAGTTTCATCAGCTTTACATATAAAAACTGTAAACAAAGGCAAAATGACACCTAATATATATGACTGCTAGTCATTTATAAGACTTGGAGAAATTTTTTGCTAACAACCTCACAGATAAATTTGAAATAAGACACCAGGGTTTTGAATAAACTGTATGTATAAATGTATTTCCTTCTAAGCTCAGATATGTGTTTTTTATAGTCTAAAACGACAAAAAAACAAAAACATGTACAAAAACAGTGAACATAAGAAGTGCTGATTCTAATAAATGTTGCTAGAATTGTAGTGAACTAGATCACCTATTTCCTTTCCTGTAATTGTTGCATATTATTAGGTTACAGGCCTTAAGATCACAACACGGGTCATTAAATTATGCAGCTTAATAACCATAAAATTAATCTGGCAATGAATTATAAAGACTTGCTGAAAAATAAACAACTCTAGTTTGTCATCAAAGGTCCACCTTAAGTAAAACATACTCATCCAGTGTTTAACAATCTTAGTTTTTAATTACATTTATAAGTTTTTATTCATAAGTGAATACAAATAGCAGTTTTTTCTTTATGTATTTACCTTAAATTGGCTTTAACTATTATGATTTTGCTGATCTTAAAAAACAAAATAAAAACACATGCATTTCAATTTTTATTTCAAATACCACATCTTCTAGTCTGCAAGTCTTTATCTGAAAGCTAACAGTGATCCAGGCTATCTCACACAAGACTGAAACTTTGCATTGCACACAATTACAGTCAAGTGAAATCAGCTGGTATGGAAACCAGTCCAGTCTCAAAGCTTTGGAAACAGGTAATGTGCTGATAAATTAGAATGGGGATCAGTGATGTAAATTAGGGCTGTAACTATAAGGCCAGGGAATGATTTTAAAGGTCAATAAGCGATGTGTTAAGTATTGGAATGTGACTGGATTGGTCCCTGTGATCACCCATTATGTAGATTGAGGTGCAGTAAAAACTGCAGGAAGGAAAAATAATCCAAATGATTTCTTTGAAATCCTTTTATCCTTAAAAGACGGTTTTGTTCAAAGCAGACATAATGGGGCTTAAGCATTACATTTTTCAAGCTGTTAAGATTTGAATTAATCTTATCATTTTAGCTCATAAATGCCCATCTTAAACCAAAGGACTGCAATGACTGACAGTTTCTAAGCAATATTTAAAACATATTTAGACATTTCCCCTGTTTAAAAAAAAAAAAAAAGAAGGTATATGATTTTTATATTTGTATTTTATACTTGTAGCAGTTTCTACAAACCCCCCTTTCCCTAATTTGGTTAGCCTCCAAAAGTTTGTCACCATTTTATTGATTCTTAAGGTATGATAAGAAATTAAGCAGAAATGAAATAATTAGCAATATATTACAGAAAAGTGTTTAAAATTGTAAAGCAGTAAAATTATTTTCTAATTTAAGTTCAGAGAATTATGTTTCAGCTCTATGCATTAAATTCAAACTAGAATAAAAATACTCTTTAACAGCTAAAGTTATTTGAGTGGTGCTCATTTCATCATTTATTATTTTCATATAATTAATTCAAAAACAAAAGTTTAAAATTATAAGGCAGGTGTGTCATTCTTTTAAAGTTGCTATAATTTCCTTTGAAAGTAAGTTCTTAAGTTAATTTAGACACTTTCTTTCTTATTCTGTCTTAATGTATTACACTTTTGTGGATTTCAACCCTTTAAATAGTTTGAGAATCTAAAAAAAATTATATTTTGAGATAAGTAGAAAAATAATTGTAACCATTTTATGCATTTCTGCAAGAAGAGTTGGACTTCTGCCTTAAACCTTTAGATATAAGGACTAAGATGCATATAACAAAGTGTCAGATGCAAGTGCACCCTATACAAATGTAGATGTTGTTTTTCAAGTTGCCCACCACTATGGCTCTGTCTCCACCTCTTACAATCATGGCTAATCATTTGATGAAAGGATCCCCATCACTCTGCCGTACACACCCTCTAATGTCCCTTCTCTCCAGGATATATAAACAGACCCTCCAGCTTCAGAGCCAGCAGCAGCTCTCTCTGAGATCTCCAATGACTCTCATTTGGGTGAAACCTGAATCTCCAAGCAGGATGCAGAAGAGGAAAGAGAAATCTAGGACTCAGCTGTTGGATTTGCCAGTTGCTCAGAGAGAGGTTCTCAAAAGAGACACCACATATCTGGCAAAGATTGCCCTTGTTCTCCAGGATGCTCCAGGCAAAATGCTCACCTTCACCCAGGTAAGAATTATCTCAAATGCACTTACAATTTAAACTTTGTTATTCAACCAATAACCTACATTTATAAAACCGTCTAAAGCTGTTTTTTTTTCTTTCTTCTTATAGTTGATGGAGAAGCTGGCAACTCTTATTTCAGAAGACCTAAGATCTGTTGTGAGCAACATCAGAGTCTGTTTGTCAAGCCACAGATGTTTTGTTAAGGTATATATAAGTATTACTTCATTTAATACAAACTATAATTCATTTGGCGGCCGCATATCCACTGATCTATATGGACCATTTTCAGATTCCCGTGTTCCCAGGTTCAAGGGACAGCAAGAAGAACTACTGGAAACTAGACTGTAGCAAGATCACTCCAAAGATGGTGCGTCGTCACTTTATGAGACTCCTGAATATCTTCCCTGAGTTGGCCTCTAAGGTTGAGACAAACAACGCGAACAGACCATCAGAGCAAAAATCAACTGTCCCATCTCCTGAACCTGCAGCCTGCGGCTCTGTGCAGGTCAGATGTGAGGTGAAGTTCACTGGTCCCTTCTCGATTGAATCCCTCCTGAAGAGAGACAGCCCGTCTTCTCTGACCTGCAGAATTTCTGCTCCGCCCAGCATCCAGACCTGGGCAGATCAGCAGCTTTTGCCCATACACACGACAAGGGTCTCCAGCTACTATGAAGAAGGTTCGCCTCCTCAAACTTCTTCAGGATTATACCCTATCTGCTTAGCAAGGGGCAGCACACATCACAGAGGCGTTGAACCCACCACAAGGATTGCTGTCCACACTGAGCCCCAATCCTACTTCTACATAAGAGCTGCTTCCAATCTCAACAGCTCTCTCTACAGTTACATCACACACTCTGTAGCAGCATTTACACCAGAAACCCTCCACTTTTGATTGCATATTTTTTTTTTATTTCCCTCTAAAGAAACTTTGCACTTGTAAGCACTGTATGTGTTTACAGGAGTGGAAACACTCTAAAACATTTAAGCATGGAGATATCCTTTAGCTAGACAAAGCTGTGGTTGGTGTTGTGTCTTTTGCTGTACTTGGTCTGGTAACGATTGCTTGTTGTTTTTCTCTTTTGGTCCAAACATAACACTGTCTTCTCAGGCAATTCTCTGGACGATACTTTTTATTTCATTTTTTTGCATTGTTTAGTCATTTTGTTTGCATGGCTACTGTTTGTTCTTTGTTTTTTTTTTTGTTTTTTTACTTTTTTTTTTTTCAATGGTCAAACTTTAGGCCATTTCGATATGGCCACAAGATGGCAGTATAGCGTTTCCTTTTGTGTCTGAGATGTGGTGTTCAGGGGAAAAAAAATCCTTTCCAAAATAAAGCTTTTAATAAAAATCTTTCTCACTTTGACCTCTTTTTAGTTAAGGCAGCTGTGAATTCAGATATCCATTTAAAATGTACATTAATTCCTTGGATGCTTGTTTAAAATAATGTGTCCCAATGTTAGGACATGCGGTGCATTTGTGCATTAAACTAATTTGCCTTTTAAATGGGCATAAATTTACAGTCATACTGAATTGGTGGTTATTAGAGAGATGAGAGATGTTGTTTGGATGTTTTACATTTTGAAACACATTTAAGTCCCAGAGTCGTATGTTTGCAGTCATGTTTGTCAAAAACCCACTGTTGGAAAGCAACAAGATTTTGAGGAAGAATAAAAAATAAAAAATATATCTTTAAAAAGCCTAAAGCTACGGCTCCTTGCAAAAGCTAAGATAGATTTGGATTTTTTCCATAAACTATTGTAGCTTGGCCACCCCAAACATTGACTTTGTTTTTCTTAAGTCACCTTGCAGTGGGTTAGTGTTCATTTGCAAGGCACATCTGTGCACAAGTTTGATGATTTCTTCAGACTTTAAAGTTGCTTTAGTATTTTTAAATTTGTTTTAAGCAGCCCAAGTAATTATTTTCTAGACAATTTATTACTTCTACTCAAATTTCTTTGCAACTATCTCTACTTTATACTCCTTACATTTTAAAAATAGACTTATTAGTTTTATTTCATTTTAGCTATTTTTTGTTATGAAGTGTTGGCAGCAAAAAAAAAACTATATTAGTTTCATCCAGGCAATACATTTCTTTGTGGTTGGCCTCGGTATTGCACTATAATACATAGTTTTTTAAGATGATGCAAAGTTAAAATTGACATGGTTTCCATTAGAAACTTAAATGTAAGGAATTTATCATCCAGGAATGTAGAAAAATGTTCCTTTAATAAGGCAGTGCAGTAATGTGTATAAGGTTTAAAGCATCTAACCTTAACTTTTTTTCCTGCATTACTTTTATACTTTAAGTACTTCAAAAATTTAGTTAGTATTAAATTAACTTAGTAAAAAAATTCTGTTACACTTTGAGAAAAAACACTTAAGTTGATACTCTAACTTCTACAAAACTATATTCAAATAGTAGGATTTTTACTTCTTCTTGAGTAATAAATTTTAATACTTCTGACACTATTATTCCAATCCATTAAAATTTGGGTGAGGATCCTAGATTTCCATTGGTCTGTACTTTTAAACTGATATTCTGGCTTTTTTATGTTTTCAGGTAATGGCTTCTTTTTTGCTGAGTGGCGTTTGAACCCATATCAGTAGGTGACTAATTTAACAGTAGACCATGACTGTTTAGGCAGCCTCTTTGAAAGATCTTCAGCTTTGTTCTGCCATGCACCCGCCGAAACACATTTATCTCTACAACTAGCTTCACCTCTTTCCTGAACACTATGCTGCCTGAACATTCTTTGCATATAATTGTATGAACAGATGAGTTTGACAAATTTAATACATCTGGAAAATGAATCCAGCTTGTGGAGGTACACAGCTCTTATATCTTAGTTGATTTATTTTACAAGAGTTTTCCTTGGGATCACACAAGGAGGTATTCGCTTAGAAATACACCAATATAGAGCCAGACTTTATCTTTTTTTCTCTGATATATAAAAATAATGGAATTTTAAGTGTATAAAAAATAAATCTGACGATTTTGGCATTTACCAAGTATTTTTGATAATTTTATTCTATCGATAATCTTAAACAGTGAAGAAAAAGGGTATGTGTCTTTCTGTTACCTGCATGTTCATATCAGGTTTCCTTTGTAAAAGAGAAAAACAGCAGGGAGAAGATGAATGTTCAGTGTGTTATTAGACTTTTTAAGGACAAGATCATCCATAAAATGGAACAAAAAAGGAAGTAATTGGTTTTACAGTGTGCTTGTCTGATAGCTACACTCTTGGAAACTCTACAAACCACACATAAGCCAACAACCTGAACTAGCTTAAATACATGTGTAAAAAAATATAAGAAGAAATAAAACATGCTCATTAGTGGAAAAAAATGAAGATTTTCTTTAATGTTTCCATCATGTCAAGTAATCCAAGGAGTTTGAATAAAAAAAAAAAAAAACACTTTGCTGTAAAGTTTATACGAAACAGAACATAGACACCTTCATACCTCCTTATGAATGGAACCACTTTAAACTCCACATGGACTCAGAACAATCTCCTGTAATAAATAGGTGAGCATGACTTTCAACACAGTTACAGCCAGCCATTATGCATGAAAACAATTCTTGAGCTTTTGCTTGCACAGTAGCTTGTACTTTGCTCTTTAATGTTTCTACATGGTGCAAACATTTAGCAGGACATGGATCCTGGATTAGGGGCTGTGCTTTAAGGTGAAAGGTCCTGGTGAGGTCTCCATCGCCATATCCTGCTGAGAAGTCACAGGGAAGTCATGAACAGTTCATGGACAGCATGCAGTTTTTAATTAAGCCAAAAGATAGACATGTAAAACAGAAAGGCATCATAAATGTCAAATAAGTGAAATAAATCATGTACATAAAACTGTTTTTAAGATGCTTTCCTTTTTTTCCTAAAAAGAAAAATCATTGATAATTCATGATGTTTTATATAAGTGTCAGAATTTAGCTGTTCTGCCTCTTAAAATGAAGCTCTTTCTGTAGTGACTGAATGTTCTCAATAACTATTGATCAGATGTTCAGAGCAGCCTGGTGGAGTTTTATCCCTTTGCTTTTGTCCTGAATGTCGGCAACACATAGCTCCTGATGGATTTCCTCACATGAACTCTTTGCCTCTTGGCCCTTTGACAACCTTTCTTTTGGAGTAAGGTCAGGAATTTGACTAGGGCCCTCTAAAACATAAACTTTGTGCTTTTTTTAACTATTATTTGACAGATTAACTTGTGTGTTTAGGGTCATTCTCCTACTGCATTACTTACAAAGGCTTCACCTAATGCACACATTTTCTCAGGCTGTCTAAGCAATTTCCTTTCAGTAAAACGCCAAAGATCCTTCAAAATTTAACAACATGGACATGGTTAAAAACTCATGGTAATCTTTATGGAGTAAAACATTATTGACAAATGTGTTTACGTAATGTATTAAACTGGGAAATGTAATATTACACAATTCAATACAGAATACAGGGTAATAACTGTTGCATTGATTATTGTTAAACCCCTGCAGGACTAGAAGAAAGCCAAAACGAACTTGGGTAAGAAGACAAACAATTCTACTTTTTCTCCATGTTCTGAAGTAAATTCACCTTTTAGTTGGAAAATTAGAGTTCCAAACTATGGATTTAGGTGAGTTTGGAAAGTACTCATACTCAGTGGAGTACCCAATTCCAAAAGAAAATAAGTCAATGTATCTTCCCTTAAAGGCCATTCGACATAATTGTGATAAAGGTAATTGTCTTGACAGTTTCTTTGTAGAGATTTTCCACAATGAGAGTAAACTATCAATTGTTTTTTTTCTAAAAAATCTGCCTAGTTTGGGAGTGATATCCAAGTATCTCAAAGGTAATAGAGATAACACAAGTTGCTTGGGGTCAAAATGTCCACAGAGCAGTGATGATACCCTGTAATACGCTGCTGTTGGACCACTACTATTAATCAAAGCCAACATTCAGCTCAGCCCTCTTCAGAAAACCTTTGAGCACATATTGGTCTTTTTTAAGTAATTTACAAAAATAAACTAATGCTTCAATAAAATTCTTATTGACTGAAATTCACTTAAATACAATACAATATACTGTATTGTATTGTTATATAGGGGGAGAGGCCTAGTGGTTAGGACATAGAGCTTGGAATCCTGAGGTTGTGAGTTGGAAACCCACTCCCACAGACTGCCACTCTGGCTCTCTGAGCAAGACCCTTAACTCCCACTGCTCCCTGGACGCCGTAAATGGCAGCCCACTGCTCCCCAAGGGGATGAGTTAAATGCAGAGAGTGAATTTCATTGTGCAGTACTTGTGACAGTGTAATGACAATAAAATAAAATAAAATAAAACACTCTGGAAAAAAAATGTTATCAATCAAACGATAGTTGTTGACTAGGCTGGTTTTTCAGATTAAAAGTACCATTAAAAAAATAAAAACCTGTAACCGGGTATTGAAATTTTTTTTTATTAAGCCTGCAATTCTGCATTAAAATATGTTTTTATTGGTCTGATGTATTGTTCTAATCTGAGATGTCATGTCTTCATTAGCTATAATCGGAAAATCAACTAATATTACAGACATAATGGCTTAAAAACATCAGTATGTGTGTAATTTATTTATATGTTTTGTTTCCTTTTATAGATTTAGTGAAATAAACCGAACTAAACAAACTTTTTAAAAGCATTCTAGTTATCAACTAGATCATTTTGTACTTAAAATATAAATATTTGAATAAAATACATCCATTAAAAATCATATATGTTGGAAAAAATCTGTTGTGATTTTTTTTCCTTTTAATTACAAAGGCTTATTCAGAAAGTCAAATATTCCATCAGATAGGTCATGTGAGCTGAGAGCGAACGGAGGAACTTTCACCATAAACCAAGAATTTACTGAACAGAAGGAAGAAGAGTAGGCTGAGTTCAACATTTGGCC